AAAGATCGATAGATGTCTAAATATTTGGATATCAAGTTGTACGGGAATAGTGGTGGAAGATGCAATGATCTTATTGAACAAAAGAGCAGGCTCAAGCTTAGTGACCTGTATCTGCTATATTTCCTCTGATTCCAACGTGTGGTTGGAAATGTGATGCTCGTACTAAAACTAGAGGCCTGTGTTTAGATTGCATTTTGTGTGAATTGCTCTTCCAGTAAAAATTTCAGATTTGAATGAAGAGAAGTTGCCTGATCTGAGTCCTGCTTGACTGACATCTGGTTAGCATTGAATGCTTCTGTGGAAGTAACACCTGTATGGTGGCAACTTGGTTTGCAAAAGAAAATTGGCATCACAGTTATGATGCAGAAGACCATTTGGTCCATTGTGTATGCACCAACTCCCTGAACATTTTAACCTATTGCAAAAATCCTACCTTTCTCCCATAATCCTGCATGTTGTTTCTAACTAAATAACCATCAAACTTGGACTATTCACTTTGTGAACAAGTTTTATCTCACCTTACGTTTGCTTCTTTTGTAAAGCACTTTATAACTGTGCCCTTTGGTTCTCACTCCTTTTATGAATGGGAACAGTTTCTCCTATTTACTTTGTGAAGACCCCTCATGATTTTGAAAACTTCTATCAGGTCTCCTCATAGTTTTCTCCTCTCCAAGGAACCCCAAGACAACACTCCCTACTTCTGTAATCTATCGTCATGAACTGAGATTTCTCATCCCTGGAACTATTCTTGCAAACATCTTCCACACTTTCTTCGTTGCATTCACATCCATCTTAATGTATTATGACCAGAACTGCACTCAATACTGCAGCTAAGGCATGATCTTGACTTATATAGGTTGAGCTTACCTTCCCTGCTCTTGCATTCTATGTCCTTATTAATGAAGCTTAGACTACTGTGTACTTTATTAACAGTTCCCTCTATCCTGCCACCTTTAATGACTTATGCACTATACATCCAAGTCTCTCTGCCTCTGCAGTCCCTTTTGAATAGTAACCTTTGTTTTATACTGTCTCTAGTTGTTTTTTGTACCAAAGTATATTAATCATACCTCTGCATTGAACTTCATTGCCGCTTATTTGCCCAATCCACCAACTTGTCAGTGTGTATTGGAAGTTCTACACTCTCCTGTGGCACTTCGAAATTCTTATTGTCCACAAACTTTGAAATTGCTCCTGTACTCCAAGATCTAAATCTTTAATATAAATGGAGAAAAGCAAAGGTCCCAATACCAACCCCTGGGGGAATCCGTTACAAGCTTTCTTTCATCCTGAAAATTACTCTTAAACCAGTATTCTCTATTTCCTCTCACTCGGACAATTTTATATCCATATTGTTACTATTCATTTTATCCCATGACCTATCACTTTCCTGACAGGTTTGATGTGTTGCTTTGAATTAAATGTCTTTTGGAAGTTCACGTACACCACAGCAACAGCTTTGCCCTTATCAGCCCTCTCTGTTACCTCTTCAAAAAACTCCAGCAAGTTAGTTAGATGAGACTTTCCCTTAACAATTCCATGTTGACTCTTCCGAATTAACCCCCATTTTTCTATATAACTGTTAATTCTATTCTGAATGATTGATTGATTGCTTATAGAAGTTTCCCCACCACAAAATGTCAGAGACCTATTTTTACAACCATTTTTTGAACAAGGGCTGAGTGTTTGCAATTCTCCATTCCTCTGGCACCACCCCTGAATCATTAATGTTACTAAAACGAAGTAAAATTGAACAGAACAGGATTTCGACAGGAATTCAAATTTGTAATTCATGTCAACTTAATTTAGTGAGACAGAATATTGCATTGAAACAAATAATTTTGCAATCAGATCGTGAAGTTAAACAGTAGAAAATTGATGTTCAACATTCTCAGAATAAGCATTTATTATTTTCTTGTCAATTGGTTAGAAATAAAAATTACAAATTAATTTGTTATACAGCTGGAGAAACCTTTACATGATGAAAAATATAATTAGAAAATCTGAAGACCTGAAAGAAGTGAGGAAATACTTTTGCATTTGATTTTGAAATACAGTTTTACAATTTTTTACTTTAATATTTTTGTTTTGAGCTCCTTCATCTTGATTTGAAGTGTAAGTTTTCCTTGAGAGGAAAACTGTAAGGAGAACTGTATTTTCCTAATGTAACATTTTATGAATGGTGTTCATCATCTGCTAACAAGTCAAATTATTTTACAGTCCTGAAGGTCAGCATTTGTTGCCCAACTTTAATTGATCTTCAAAAGGTGGTGACAGTGAACCGCCTTCTGGAACTAGTGCAACTTATACAACTTAGGTACACCTGCAGTAATAGTTTGATAGAACTGTGCGGTTTGATGGGACATTTCAGGAAGAAGTGAAGACCAAACACATTGTTTTGGGTCTGGAGTCGAATAAATACCAGTCCAAATAAGGATGGCTTATTTCTTTCCCTATAGTACATTAGTTGCACCAGATGGATATTTATAACAATCTGATGGTTTCATAGCCGTGAATGAGATGAGCTTTCTTTCATTCCAGATTTACTAATCGATTGACTTTAAATTCCATGAGCTGCTATGGTGGGAACGGAACTCATGTATAGAGCATTATTCCAGACCTCTTGGATTGTTAGTTCAGGAACATCTTTTCAAGGATGCTTCCTGTCGTATCTTGGGCCAAAAGAACTCAGTTGAAGTCACAAACCTATTAAAAGCTTTAATGGAGATCACTCCTTATCGCTGTTGCATGTACTATCTGAGTGTCCCCAGTGTACTTTTTTTCTTGTTCCAGTATCATAATATCTAATACTTAACCCATCACCCTGACACTTCCAAACTCTGACTTCTAACACCAAGAAGAACAAGGGCAGCGTGCACATGGGAATATCACCTATAGGCACAAGTCCTGACATAGAAATATTTCACTGTTCATTCACCAATGTTGGTTCATAATCGTAGAATGTCTTTCCGACAGCAGTGTAATGTGTACCTATAACTCAAGAAAGCAACACCAATTCCTTCACAAGGGCACTGGGGAATCTCATAACTAAATTTGATAAAATACTGGCTGGTATAAACTGATAGATTGACAAATGCCAATTTTCTATCCTCAGACATCTGACTGCCAGCTTCTATCATTAGAAGTGTATGTCCCGTTATGAAAGTTTACTGGGTATTTTTAACAATTTGCACAGGGCATTCTTTTTTCTGACTACCTCTACTGCTTTCCCAAGGCATTCTCAATCTTCAGCTGAAATGTTTTGGTTGATGTTAACTGCTGGCTTCTTGGTAGGTACCTTCTAATGCCACCTTTATTATCAGATAGGAGGTATTTGCTCAGGTTTTTACTTTTTTTCACTCTGCCTTCCAATCATAACTTTTCCATAGCAAGCAACAACAGGGCTGTAATGGAACATAGAATTTAGGAGTAGGCCATTTAGCCCCTCGAGCCTGCTTTGCTGTTGAATAAGATTGTGATCTCAGCTCCCTATCTGGTCCTACCCCTCTACCAAATATCTACTTAGCTCAACCTTGCATAAATTCAATGACCCTACCTCCATTGCTGTCAGCAGAAGAGAATTGCACAGACCACACTCCAAGAAAAGAAAAATTCTCCTCATTTCATTGTTAAATGCGCGACCTCCTTGTTTTTAAATTGTGTCCCCTACGTTCTTGTCTCTTTCAGAAGGGCAAGCATGCTTTCACTCTGTAAAGTCTCCTCAGGATCTTGTATGTTTCAATAAGATCATCTGTCATTCTTCTAAATTCCAGTGGGTAGTGACTGACTTATTCAACCTTCTTTCATAAGTTAAGCCTTTCACCCCAGAATGAGTCAAGTGTACTTTCTCTGAACTACAATTGAGAACAATGCTGTATGTTTTTCATATTGAGCCAAAACTGTACATAGTACTCCAATCCTGCAAACTAAGCCAGAAATCACATATTTCAAGTTAATTATTGACTTCCACTTGAGGCATGCATCACAAAACACCTGTCTGTACTTTTAATCATTTATTTTTTCAGAGCTACAGCTTAGTTCACAATTAACATCCTTTATTCATTGGTTGTTACTCAGTGAGAAAAAGCTGTTGTATTGGCTCAGTGTTAGAATACTGAAATGATTTTGAACAATCTGGTCTGTAACAAAAAGAATGCAGGTAGAGTTTTACCTCATTCACAGTTTTGTTTTATCATTCTGCTCTTTCCCAGAACTAATACAGTTTGACATTGACAGTTTATAAAATGTGATCTTAAGCCATTACCAGCTTTGTTTTTATCTTGCCATTGACACTGAAGTCAGATTCTGTGTTTATTACCTTTTTTTTTTAATCTGTGTTTTGGAAGTTGTTTCTCATCATTTAACCCATTTGTGAAAGTTGGAAACCATGGATGATGGCCACAGTAGTTAGAGCTGCACCTTTTATCTACTTTAGTTGATGTTTTCCCTTGATGGCTTGACTCATATACAGAACTTTCTGTGAGACTTTTGCCTGACTTTGAAGTGTAAAGAATTTACTTTTAAATGTATGTTTATTTGCCAACTTGTCTGGTATGGAGTTCTTGCTGCCTTGATTTAATGTGTTATTTGTGGTTGTCTGTGCTAAGAAATTGGTAATGTATTGTAACAAACCTTTTGCACCCTTCTGTTAATGTGTATTTATAAATCTGCTGCACATATATTTGTTTTTAAGTTTTGTACTCAAGGTATTGGAAACCCATTTCTGAATTAGAATTTAGACAATATACTATTCCAACTCTCAGTGTGCACTGCACAAAAACAAAATCAGTCTATTTGACTTTTTAAAGCAGTGCTGCATCACATTAAGTGGCTGAGATGGGGTTTCAATGCTTGATTTTAAGTTTTGTATTTTGTGCATGTGTCAATGTATGTGCCATTCAGCTTATACTTTATTAGCATTTGTAATTGCTTCCTCCCAATCCCCAATGTGCATGTTGGTGCTTCCTTTATGCTTCAATGTGCATTGAAAAAAATGGCAGTTCTATAGAAAATGTCTTCCCAACTGAACAACCTCTGAGAAGTTCAGCAGTATCAGGTGTGAAGGACTCAATGAATCATAGTTCTGTTGGCCCATTCCAGGTATGATTTGCTCTTCTTTTGTTTTCTTTCTCAGGTAAAATTTTATACATTTTTCTGTTTATTGTCAAATCCTTCATTTGAGCCTCTTCATTAAATGGATTTGTTTTAAATAAGCACCTCAAATACCTAGTTTATTTAGCTTTAAGTTTCCAATTGACATACTGTCCTTTATGTTTTGTACAAAATGTATTGAAAAGTATAAACCTTTTGTAGAGTCTAAAAATGAAATGAAAATGTCTTGAGGTGATCTGACCTGCAAACTAACTTGTTTTCTGACTTCATTTAGTGCTGTGTAATTTATTTTGTATTCTCCAGACTAGATAGATATTTTGTTTCCCATGTTGAAATATTTTGCTTAAGTCCTGTAAACACTGAGGAGATTGGGCATTGGATGTGGAGAGAGGAAGATACAATGCAGATTGGTGATTTTTGTCCAAGGGGTCCATGGTTCTGGTGAAAGTTCATTCACCTGAAATTTTAATTTTTTCCACCATTGCTGCCTGACCTACTGAGTACTTTTCATATTTTTGTTTCTTCAGTCATGTTTTGATTTTTCTTTTTGTAAGTGTGCATTTCCATAACAAATTCAGATTGACAAGTTGTTAAACAGTCTTAATGAGAACGTGTCAGTCTCAAATCCCAGAAAAAAAAGCAAACTTAAAATAAAGGGGAAAAAATAGATTTGGATTAAGAAGGATTAACAATTTTTTCAAAACAAAATGAAAGGAATGACACTCCACAAAATTGTAAAGGTTAATTTTCACTGCCAGAAGATGTTTGACAGTAGTTAAGTCTTATCAAATTGGAGAGATGTTTGAACTGAAATGGACAATCCACAACTGTGGAAAATTTAGTCTACTTCTACAACAATAGGTATTGGAACTTTGTGTTTCAATATATTTAAATGGGGGAGCCAGACTGCAAATGTAGCTTTCACACAACTTAGGATAGTGTAGTACATCTCGGCCAGCAGATCCTGGATTGAAACATTTATGCAGACATGTTGATCCACAAGAAGCTGGTGTGCAATTTGTACATAACCAATGTTGAATGTTATTAGCTTCATTGTTAGTTGAGGCCTAATAAACTCCTCTGCTCATGCATTTTTAGATGCCCAGTAGAGGGCACTACACTGATTCCAACTCCCATTTGCAGCACCTTTGTGTAAAAGCTAATAGCAATTTAACAGGCAAGGGCAAGTCCGATCTTCATTTAATGGCTCTAGGAAGTTCTGGCTGACTTCTGTTTATTTTAATTTTATGGTATAAATTACACAGTAAAATTAATTGGACAAGAAACTAGGATTTTTTTCCCCAATTTATGCGTTACTGCATCCTCCCCTCCATTGGTCACCTGAAAGCTGAGGCTGTTTAGCAAACTGGTTACTTGGGTATTGCCATTTGTCAGTTCCTGCTCTGCGCTTTAGCCATTCGTCTGCATCATTTAATTTTTTCTGTTCTTTTCCATGTGAATTTGACCACCATTTCTAATCACGAGCCCCAACCTCCATTCTTCCGTTCTTTCACTTGTACACCAGCAGGATCCATGACTGTCCCATTAAGACTCCCTTGTAACATGGATTGAATATCAATACATTTGCACATTCATTTCTTTGGGCTCGTTGAAGGTAGACTTGATTTGAGTGATTTAAGCAAGTTTATTCTACACTCAAATGTACAAATTAATAGCGCAGTAAGATTTATTTCTTTCCATCAAAACAGCTTATTGTAATAGGACTTCCCTTTCCTCCACTAAGTTCCCAATAGATTGATGCTTTACACTGTTGTAAATTATAGCAGCTCTGTTCAAACAAAATGGTAAAGGTGCATCAGATACCACTTTCGTCGGAATGATTTTGAAGACTGTGGTGATCTGAAATTGGGAGTGTGCATCAATATGAGGAATAATGCATTCAATGTTTTACTTTTGTTATTTAAATCTTCATGATGTGGGTATCAGAAGAACTAAAGAGAAAAACGTGTTATTGTTTTACTTAAGTGCTCATATTATAGGGGCTCAGATTGATTGCACCGTTAAACTCTTCTTGTGCTACAGGGGTAAGCCTATTTGAATAGGAAAAATAAATCAGTGAACTTGACTTTTATTTTGTAGTGTTTCTGACAGGTGTCATAAGACAGCACATATGTAATTGTTCCTAGCCCTGATGTGCTTCCCCTTGATTCATATCATCTTAACGTGGATCCATCATAAATATCTCATGACAGAAAACAACATCATTCTCATAGCAGAGTTTTCCAGAAGCGTACTGAACTTTCAGTTTGAGTTTTGACTTAGTTTGTTAAAATAACCTTTAAATTTGATTATGTTAATTACCGTGCACCTGTAATTTTTAAATATGTCTGAATTAAAATCTGAATAATTATTTTCTTTGTTGTTTTGCCATAGGGGCCAGTAATTTACGCTCAACTAGATCATTCCGGACAAAGACATTCCAACAAAATCTACAAGTCTGATTCAGTAGTTTATTCTGATATCCAGAGATCTTGATTTATAAAGTCGCAATGTATTTAACTAAATAATCTGAACAGAGGAACAGGTATGAGTAGCTGAAATGCCAGCTACTGTTTGATTTGTTTTTTTTTCCTGTAACATCTAGTAGTTGATTTTCTGGAGAGGGAAAAACTATTTTAAGTTTTAAAAATGTGATAATAAGGGACCATGGTTAGGATGGTAATCATCCATTTGTGAAAATATATCAGGCTTTATTTGGAAAGCTACAGTGAATTGGGAATGGATCTGCTTTTCTTAGTAGCTTAAATCTGGGGATTTGCCACATCCAAGTGACTTAATAACTGATGCATTATGTTATGAACAGGTGAGGAGAAGTCACAGCTTTCCTCTTTTTAACCAACATTTTTAACAAGAAATTCTTCTTTATCACGTAACTATTGCACTTTAAACTTAGTTAGCCAGTTCAAAAGTGAAGGACAGCAAAATCCAAAGTTTTCTCAGGCAAAAGAGGATGGAGTATTAATGCCTATTACCCCAAAACAAGTGATAATAAAATTCAACAACCAACATAAATACAACATAAATACCAATGCTGAAAATCAAAGAAAAGTAGGTGGGGGTGTGTACTAAAGACAGAAAAGACAAGGTATGATCTTAAGAGTCCTTTGGTTTGAAAAAATGAAAAGACCTGAGTCCAACTATTTGGCTACTTCTTGTTTTGTTTCCTTTGCAGTGGTGAAGCTCAGATAATCTAGCGTTCTCAGGAAATCATTGTTGTTCCAAGTTGCTTTTCATCAGCTGGTTTCTCAGTTGGACGGAGATTATGAGAAGCAGGCAGTGGGAATAGTTCCCCGTATTCATGCTGTTAGCAGTCTATGTTGTTTTCTCCCTTCTGCTTTTTGCTTAAGAGCTTACTGTTAATGTGCTGTCCCTTTGCTTATTCTGGTGTCTGTGTAATTGTTTCATTTCAAGCTTGATAGTTATAAACAACTTTTAATGGGAGAAAAATATATGAAAATTTTGTCACGCCTCACTAAATTTCACAGCCTCTTGATTAAAATGGTAATTTCAAAGTAGCTGGTTTTATATATTTTGTGTGGGTTTCCTGTGCTTGGATGATGGTCACAGCAGCTATTTTAGGTGAGCAGTATTCTTTTAGTCCGTGAATTAAAGTCAAGTGATGCAAGTTGAATATTGGTAGCCCATTTTCACTGCAATCATAACAGTTATAAAACATTTCTAATACGTGGGCCTCAGCAAACTTGTGCTTCCCTTTAACTCGTGTGACTGCAACCTTACTCGTGTCATTTCTGGCTGTGATAACTGTTCCAGCAAAGATTTGAGAGTTTACACTCTGAAAAACAGAAACAAATTGATAATGCTGTCTTGCTATTCTAAATAGAATACGTATTTTGAGGAGCAAAATATGCCTACTCTGGAAATTTTCAGTATCTTCCACTCCAGATCACTCGTGCAATTATCTGGACTACCGACTAGAATTGGAGAATGTGGAGAATAATAATGTAGTCTGCACATTTGAGTTATAATTCAAAACATACACTACCACTGACATTTTGCAAAATATTGCCTACTGCAAGATTGGTTAAATTAGTGTTTTTATTCACTTAGGTGTTATCGTTATGGATGATGCTACAGTGAAATAGATTTTCTATAACAGCATAAAGCTGATTTCAGAAAGCTTTGGAGCTTCATGGTGACAATGTAGGCAAGGTCTTATATTGAGGCTAAGCTTTACTTTAAAACCATGCCATTTGATAAATAGAATTAATTCACTGGCTTTTACCATCACTTATTAACTTGCAAAACAAGAACACAGTGGAACATTCTTCACTATTCAGCATTTTGAAATGCATGTTAGTGAAATGAAATTTGAGTAGTAGAGACTTTGGATTTTTAGACTTGTCATATTTATGGATCACTTCTTACATCTGTAAAAGCTTGACAAATCATACATTTACATAGATTGCTTGTTGCATACCTGCTGAATAGCTCAGATAATCAACAGCTTTAGTTTCTGTAAATTTTGGGTAATTAAAATTGACATTATTGTACAGTATTTAGGATTCAAAACTAAAATAGTAAAGCATTCTAATAAAAGCAAGACCTTTCAGGCATTTAATAGATGAGCAAGATAAAGTCTCAGGAGATGATGCTGAATTGATGCCTTGCTTCAGTCTTCACCAAAGAGGCTGAGAAGAGTTAAAATGGCCAATCTGGAGAGAGGTCCCAACTGTTAAGATAGAAAAAAGGATACTAAACAGTGATTTAACTGTAGTAGAACAGCTTGGGTAAGGGCCTAGTAATGTTTGGAGCACAATCTTCAATACTATTGCTAATCTGGAGAGAGGTCGCAACTGTTAAAATAGAAAGAAGATGTCAAATAAATGTAGCCGCAACTTGAGAACGAGCTGCCTCTTGTATATTAGCACAGATTTTGTATTGTCTGTTCCTAATAGATATATTGTTTTATGTCTATAAAATTTCAAATTTTAAAATATGTCATTGATTTGTACTTTTTAAAATTCTTGCCCTTTTTATGAGTTTGGGGCTGGGGGAAAGTCAGCAGAGAGAGATAGAGGAGTCGAGGATGTAATGTCGGTAATGCAGGGGAAGAAGCAACGGCAACAAATAGGTTTGACCTGGAATGACAATGCTCACACTGCAATCACCAACACAGATGGCAATTTGATTGACTCCAATTGATATCAAGAAGCAGTTGAAGGCACTGGATGCTGCAAGATATATGAGCCCATAATCGCCACATTCCAGTAGTATTGAAGATTTGTGCTCCAAAAATTACTAGACCCTTACACAAACTGTTCCAGTACAGTTAAATCTCTGGCATTTGTACGCCAACATGGAAAGTTGCTCAGTCTGGCCAATTACTATCCCATAAGTCTACTCTTGATCATCAGCAAAGTGATCGAAAATAGTTTCAGAGGTAGTAGGAACTGCAGATGCTGGAGAATCTGAGATAACAAGGTGTAGAGCTGGATGAACACGGCAGGCCAAGCAGCATCAGAGGAGCAGGAAGGCTGACGTTTCGGGCCTAGACCCTTCTGACAGTGGCATCAAGTGGCATTTAGTCAACCCTAATCTGATCCCAGTGCCTAGCTTGAGTTATGCTGGGGTCATTTGGCTCAAGATCTCTCTACAGCCTAGGTCCAAACATGGACAAAAGAGCTGAACTGAAAAGAACATGATTAGTCGCCCTTTACATGAAGACAGTATTTGACTGAGTGTTATATTAAGGAAACTTGGTAAAATCTAGGTCACTTGGAAATGGAAGGGTGGAGAAACTCCTCAATAGTTGGAGTCATACTAAGTATAAAAGAAGGTGGTTGTGTTTGTTGGAAGCCAATCATCTGAGCCTCCTGATATTCTGCAGGAGATCTTTGGTTTATGTCCTAAACCCAACCTCAGTTGCTTTATCAATGGCACCTTCCATCCATCACTAGGTAAAAAGGGCAGATATTTGCAGTTAATTGCATTATCATTTGTAACTTTAAAGATACTGAAACTATCTGTGCTCATAACAGCAAGAGCTGAACAGTGTTCAGGCTTGGACTGAAAAGTTCAAGTAACTTTTATTTCACACAGTAGCAATGATCGTCTCCAAGAAGAAAATCTAACCATCTCCCCCTGATGTTTAAGGGCATTGGAGTGATTGTAACAAGGTCATCCAGGTGGATTTCGTGGAATGCAAGTTCCCTGATTGGGGCTGTTATTCTAGTTAAATCAGAGAGCCCTGGGTGACAAATAAGAAGGGAAGTGGCAGAGATACTGACACTCTGATAGCTGACTCTGAAGAGGCAGTACAGAAATCAAGGACTGTTCGTGTGTAAATGAAGGGTGACATGGTGATGGGATACTGGCCTCTGGTGTTATTTCACTGAATTCTCTACTGTCAACATTCTGGGGTTACGATTGACCAAAAACTGATTTAGACCAGAACATAAATACTGTAGATACAAGAACAGGTCAGAGAGCAGGAATTCTGAGGCAAGTAATCTCTTGACTCAAAGCTACAAAGCCTCCCCATCCTCTACAAGACACAGTTTAAGCATGATATTCACTTATTTGATGGCTGCAGCTCCAGCAACATCCATGACAATGCAGTCCACTTGATTGGGCCCCATCCATCAATTTAAACATTCACACATAACACAGTGTCAGGTCTGCACCATGTGCAAAATGCATGCAGCAGCTCATTGATTCTCCTTAGCAGCACCTTCCACACCACTTCTACCAAGCTGAACGGACAAGGCCAGCAAACGTGTGGGAGTGCTGTCATTTCACATTTCCCTCCAAACCACATGCTGTCCAATTTGGAACTAAATTGCTGTTCCTTCACTTGCTGGATAAAAGTCCTGCAACTCCCTTCCTCACATCACTGTGGGTATACCTGCACCAATTCAACTGTAGTAGTTCTAAAAGGTAGCTCACTATCCACGACCTCAAGTGTGATTAGAGATGGACTGCACAGGTTGGCCATACCAGTAATACCCACATATCTTGAAAAAATTATTTTAGTAGTTTTGTATGTGAATTCTATTATAAAAGCAGATAGTTAACCCCTTGTCAGCACATAAATGAAAAATTTGAAGAGACAGCCTTTGTATTTACGTACTGTGGTCACAGCCATTAACTAATGCATGGATGAAGGCCTCTGCGGTGAATGCCTGTGCAAAAATAATATATTTTGTGACTTTTTTTTTCTTTCTAGCTTTATGCTAAACTGATTTTTTTTAGTTGCTATTTTGTCCCTTACTGACTGAAGTAGAATGTTGCTTGTAATTTTTTTTTGCAAGACAACCACTGCCAACTATTGTGTTGCTATTTGCAGTCTCATTTGAAGTTCAGCTCTAGTATCTCATGTTTAATTACTAGCTAATTAATTCACTATGCCTTTTTCCCCCAAATTGCTTAAATTACACTTCTCTGGAAACTAGTCTGTAACTAGCTTGGAATTCCCGAACAGCATTGTGGGTCTACATACGGTGCACGGACCATAGTCTTTTAAGTAGGCAAATCACCACCTCCTCCTCCAGGGTAACTAGAGATGGGCATTAACTGCTGACTCAGCCAGTTACAGCTACATCTCATGGATGAACTAAAGAAAGCGTATTATTGGACACGACAGTTACACCAGTCCAGGGGTCTTTGGTTAGTGTAGGAAAAGAGAATGTGACCACATGATATATCTGCAATGGTGGGTGAGCAGCTGACCAGATACTTAAATAGCCATATTAATTGTGTTTAGCAAAACTTCTTGCTAAGAGGAGTAAGCTAACTCATGTGAGAATATAATTGGAGGTACCTTGGTGAATGGTGAATCATTCTTTGGTTCAATAGTCTGATAAGGAGTTAAAACATTTAGTCTGGTTAGATGGCCTTATCAACAGCCTTAAGAATTAATGTCTGATACCCGACAGACAATAAGGTTCCTGACTAAGTGAAATGTCTGAGTGTCTAACTCTTCATAGGGAGCTGGAGGACGCAATAAAAGAATTGTCCTTAAATTGCTGTGATGAAGTGATTGGTTAAGGACAAAAATCACACATTAGGGTTGTAAGGACCCCAGAGTAGTAGAAAGATAACTTGAGGCTGGGCTTCTCTCCATGTCTGAATAAAATAACTCTATGTACAATAGGACATTTTTTATTTAAAGGATAAACTTTACAGGACTGTAATTTCATTGTGATGCAGAGGACTTCTATGAGTAGAGCCATGCAGACTTCAGTCAGACACCCTTAGTTCAAAGAATTAGAACATAGGTTTCACTCTATATATTTAAAATTCCCTCACTAGATGGCATTCCAAATAAAGCTGATAGAAATATACTGCAATCAAAGCTTCATTGACTATTCTAACAATTACATTTTGCTACCAAGTCTGAATTCTGCAATTGATGTTTTCACTTTATATATATATATATAATATAGACCAATGGAACCTGTTTTCAGCTTTGCTAATTATTTTATTGTCGCTCATTTTATATTTAGGTCAAGATTATCGAACTATAGCTTCTGTTTGCTTTATATGCAACCTTTGAAAATATCAAAATTATGTAATAACCTGTGTGTATTTCCAAGTATGTAAATATGCAAGCTCAATTATCTGCAATGCCTGTCATTTGCCTTAAATAAGGAAAAATGGATTGTAATTGCATATTGGTACAAATCAGAAAAATCATCTTATTTAAATATTTAATTTCACTTGATGTAATCTGAATTTTGAAGACAAACATTCCAGATAGTCTATTTGTAAAATCCATTTGGTAGATGCCACTTAGGAATCTATGAAAAGATTAACAAATTCGATCATGACTTCACTCAAGGCACATGCCTTACAACTACTGTAACAGTATTTAGTAAATAAGTAAGAAAAAGGTGATAATGATCATTTCTCAGGATAACAAAAGCAAATTTGTGCAGTGAAGTTAGTGCACATAGGAAGTCCAAGAGGGAAATCTAAATGGGTTCTACAGAGAAGTGATCAATTCACTGATGCAGTAGCTGTGATGGTTTGCTTCTACATTATTCTTGAGTAGCATGTACCTTAAATTGATATTCTTCGTTATGTAATGTCTAAAATTATATTCTACCAATCTTGTATTCAAAGTCTTGTTCAGATATTCTAGAATTGCTGAAGTGCATATAATCAGTTTGTTTGCTAAATTGTTTTGCCTATAAACTGTTATCTACTTGTCTTAACTACAAGAATTTATTTCATTGTTAAATATGAAGGATATTTGAAATTTTAAATGTATAAAGAAAACGTTTTACCCCAAGGCTCATGACTGTTTGTTTGACAGAATTTCACAAAATTGAACAAAATAAATTACTTCAAAAACTGAAAGAATTGCAGATGCTGGAAATCAGAAATGAAACCAGAAATTGCTGGGAAAACTTAGCAGATCTGGCAGCATCTGTGGAGAGAAATCAGATTTAACGTTTCAGGTCCAGTGACCCTTCTTCAGAACACAAATTGTTATGAGGATTATCATGTAAATGCTTTCCATGCTTTTATTTTACAGGATGAGACCTATTGATTTCCACTGGTGGCATATTTGTCACCACTAAAATTTGTAAGATTTGCTGCTGCTGGATGGATTATTTCAATAAAGGATTGTCCTAGGAATTTTATATGAAGATATAGTAGCCTTCACCACTAAGAATGTTCTTGCTAACTTTCTGGTTAATTTTGGACATTAAAACAAGTAGATTTATCATGAAGACATGGTGGAACAGTTTGGCTTGTTAATTGCATCTATGAAAAATTGTCACCGACATTGCCTGGAGGCAGGATCTTACTTACTCAGATTGTGTAAAGCTCGTCTATAAAGAGTTGTTCATTATTACCAAACAGGAGTACGATCAACTTTTACCGTAAAGTTTTTTCTCTTATCCAAAAATATATGCTTTCTTTCTCTTTATGTGATGTTTTGTAAGTCTGTTGGCATAGATTCTGAAGGACAATGGATCTTTGTACTTGTGAGTACTTGATCTATTGCATACAAATTTGTGTAATGATGTAATTCCATACAAAAAAGAACAAATGATGCACAGTAAGTAAAGTCATGTACCTTTTAATACAAATAGGAATTGACAGTGCAGTCGTACAACTCAAAGCACAACTTTGCCAGAGCAGAAATTAGTGCCGAGAGAGATCGATTGAGGTTGTATAAAAACTTGGTATTTATAATTTATAACATATCCTATTTGTACATACTTTTAAAAAATTCATTTGCGGGATGTGAGCATCACTGTTTGGGCAAGCATTTATTGGTCATCCCTAATTGCCCACAGGATGGTTAAGAGTCAACCATGTTGCTGTGAATCAGACCAGATAAGCATAGAGGTGCAGAGGGTGACCTTCCACATCCCCCAGGACCAGCAGTGGAAGTTAGGACACTAGACCATGCCAGTCTGGCCAGAAGTTGCCACCCAGCTTGTTGTGATCTCAGCTATCCAGACCAACATCCAGTAGTACCACAAGAAGGTCTATTTTCCCTGCTTGACTAGAGAATGTGATACCATTTTCTCCCCATTACCTCTTACTATCTCTGCTACTGCACACACTTCCTAAAAATGTTAATGTTGTGCCACTCAGTTACATGCAATATCTTCTCTCTCTCGCTCCTACCCACTCCAGCTCCCCATACCATTAACCCTGCACGACCTCAGTGCTGCCCACACATTTCCTTAGGAAATCACATTCCTTCTCCATTTGCACCAGCACTAACAGCTCTGTGATTCACTTTCTTGTCACTTAATCCCTTCTCTTCCCCTCATTCCAGGAGAAGATTATTCATAGAAGGGCAGAAAGAGCAAAGACTGGTAGCGGGTGCCTGACAAGTAGCACCTCCCCTCCTAATAAGAGGGTCCTGACCCTGACCATCCTCAGCGGCTGACTGACTCTGCTCAAGTCCCTGGACTAATATTGGAGTGTGTCTTTAACACCCTGTCTGAAGGGAATGTGCCTGAGCGCTACTCCCTCTGACTTTGAGGCATGGTCATTTGGTTGAAGCACGTGTGGGTTTGCTACTCCAGCCGCTGGCATATGTTGCACATGTGACACTCAGCATGGTGATGCAGCAAAATATCCACCCATTGACTGGTTACAGCTGACACTATGAGAAACTGCCTGGCTTTGTGTGTGTGCTAAAAGACCCTTGATGACATCTCAATATCTTACACGATTGGTCCTATGTGGTCAAAACATCAGATTTAAATTTAATTGGTTTTTGGTCTCTAAGTGCCTGATTCAAATTGATTGGCTAAAATCAAAACCTGTTGTCTTGATAACAAAACAAAACTGCTGCGTAGCCTGCTACCTGTAGGGCTTTTTGATACAAATGTTTCAATTGCGGTGCTCAATGAACCTGCAAACCCACAAGCTGCTGCCCATAGACATTCTTTTTGAATCTCCAAGCATAGAAAAAGCACATCATCTTGTAAAGGGACCACGCACTGCTTTCCACCCTAGCATTTTACAAACACCAAATTCTAATTTCCTGCCTTCCAATCCATAAATACTTCAAATAAAGGATAAATCAATCACAAATCCAGCACAGGAGACATTAAATTAAACCTTACATGCCACAGGAGCAAAAAACAATTTACTATCCATCTGTTTTTCTAGTAAACAGTATGACATTGCTGTTGCCGAACAGCCTGTTTGCACACACATCATAGAGCACTCTAAGGGATTATTTATTTGAAACGGAATCACATGCTGAAAATGTATGTGTGATCCCACTGAAATGGGAATGTACTTTGTGGATTTAGTTAAGACAACATAAAGTGGGGCACCACCAACTGCAGGGCCATTTCATGGCCCTATAAAAGATACTTGTCCACCTGTATTTAGTGAAGCATTCACTGGCTTTTGACAGCCAGCTATACACTTACTCTATACACTGGAAGATCACTGAGGCAGCATAAGGTTAGGTAGCGAATGACACTTTCACAACAGTGAACTGAAATAAAGCTCAATAAGCACACATGCCTTGATGTTGGGATTTTTAAATTTCACTTATGTAGCTGTGGGTTTTCTTGGAATGGGATTGACTAAGTTGCAGCAAAGGAATACATTGGTATCAATAAAAGTCAAGAAATGGAAGAGATTGGCCATGTTACAGGGAGCGTATTGCCAAGTCATAATTTACTTGGAACAGGCAATTAAGTGAAAGTCTCATCAGTTACAGCCTTAACAATCTTACTGTTAAGCAGTTTTGTTTTTACACAAAAAAAACCCTCCATGGGCATCACATCCTGAGGTAGAATTTGAAGTCAAACCTGCTGTCCTAAAGGTAGGGACACTATCACTGCACCACAAGACCCCAGTACTTTTTTTAAAAATTGCAACCTGTTTGAATTATTTAATGAAGTAATAGATTTGATGAATATTGTGTCCTTTATAAAATATCACAAACACGTTTTAAAAAATGATGTTCACTGAATTAGAGGCAGTTGTAGTATGGATACTGTATTGAATAAAGGACAGAAAGCAGTAAGTAATGGTGAAGAGAGACAACAAGGTGCAGGGCTGGATGAACACAGCAGGCCAAGCAGCATCATAGGAGCAGAGAGGCTGACGTTTCGGGCCTAGACCCTTCATCAGAAAAGTAATGGTGAAGAGCTGTTTTTGAAGGCAAAGATAGCATTAGTGGTGTCAGCTTTTTTTGATAGATTCCTGGCATCATATTAAAAATTGTAAATGAAACAAAACTGGGAAATATAGAGAAAAAATAGGAGAACAGTAACAGATGACAGGGGAGGCAGGGAGGCTAGTGAAATAGGCAAACCATCACTGGTGCTATTTAACAGAGAAATTTGAAGGCGTCCATTTTAGTGGGAAAAATGTGGAAAGTTTATGTAATCAAACTAATATGATTTAAAGATGGCACAAGAACAGAGAAATCTGAGAGTATATACACAAAGGTGACAGGACAACTGAGAAGGCTGTTGCAGAAGCTTATAGGGACCGCTGACTTTATTAATAGAGGCATGAGTGCAAAAACGATGGAGTTATAAAAATATTATAAGTGACTGGTGTGGAATTCTGCTGCAGCGCTGTCTCCCATTCTGGATCACAGAACTTAGTAAGGATATCATTGTGTTAGAAATAGTGCAGGGGAGATGAACTAAAATCGTAAATAGATGCAAGACTTAAGCTGCATGTAGAGAATGGAGAAGGGAAACTTTTGCAATTTTTCTATTTTCTTTCATATGTAAGCATAGCTGGCAAGTTACTGTATCCCTAACTGTCCTTGAGAAAGTGATAATGAGCCACCTTCTTGAACTGTTCTATGTGGTTCCACGGTGTAGTTCCACATTGCTGTTTGAGATGGAGTTCCAGGACTTTGACCACTGATGATGAAGGAAACTGGGTTTGTAGCTGTAGCCAAGTGGTTGAGATAATGAATTTGAAATCCTTCAGGGTTTCTTGTTCTATGTTTGAATCCTGCTGACTCAGTTTCTTATTATTCTCGATATGAACCAAGTGCCTACTACATTAATTAGTGATCAAGCGAAGTAAAAGCGCAAATGGATTCCAAGCCAAGATGGTGTGTGGCTTAGAGAGAAAATTGCAGATATGCATCTCCTGGTCTTGTACTTCTGTGCTGTCAAAGAAATCTTGACAAGTAGCTACAGTGTTTTAGACTGTTCACACTGCTGTTACTGTAGCTGGTGGAGAAGGGAGTGAATGTTTGAGGTGGTGAATCAGATGCAAGTCAATTCGGAAGCTTTATTCTCATTGTTTTCAACTTGAAAACTTGTTAATTGGGAGCAAGCGTCATCACTCCAAGCGTGATCTGCCAATTAATTAGATCTGATCTGATTACTCCACATTATCTCCAATTACTTTCCCTGCCCCACCACTTATCAAGAATCTACCTCTGCTTTAAAAATATTCAAAGACCCTGCTTCCACTACCTTTTGAAGAAGAATTTCAAAGACTCATGATCTTTCATGAGAAGAAATTTCTCCTCATCTTTGCTTTAAATGGGTGACCTCTTATTTTTTAAGCTAGTTGTTCGTCTTACATGGATCAAGGCAAGTAGAGAATATGCCATCTCTGTTTGAATAAAGATACTCAAAATTATGAAGGGTTTTTGATAAGAGTAAATAAATAGAAAATGTTTCCAGTGGCAGGAGGCTGAGTAATCAAAAAAGATAGATTAAGGGTGATCAGAAAAAGAACCAGAAATGACATGAGAATTTTCTTTTACACAGTGATTCATGATGATTTGGAATGCACTGTTTGGAATGATAGTGGACAAAATTGATAAAATTCTTGAATGAAAACATTTTTCAGAACTATGTAAAAAGGGTCAGGGGAGTGAAACTGGTTGAAACTCATCTTGTCAAACAGCCAAAGTTAGGATGAATGGTCCTTTTCTCAGCTGCATCATCATATAATTTTAAGCAGGCACATCCTTGCATAGGTTCAGTATCTGCCTTGAATGGTAAAGTTGCACAATAGTCAGATGGCAATAATTTTTGAGGCAACACTCTTTTCCCATCTGTTTGAGACCCTTTATTTGAAGTAGTGATTGGCCTGCTTGATGAGAATACTGCCAAAAACATGATTGATGCTCAATATTTCTTTGTAAGGTGGCCCCAAGGATTGTTATTAAACAGGAAGTTGCGATGGCTCCCAGGTTAAAAGTAATTTACCGCGTTGCAATTTTGTATTCATGACCATGGATCAGATGCATATTAATGAGTACTAATTCTGTGGAATCAGGATTCGAATCTGTTTCTTCAATAAAATTCTGTGCTTTGAGAAAACCCTTCAGATGGCAAAAAAAGTGCAGTCTGGTCAATACTGCAACCAGCTTTCCATGAGAATGTAGAATTATTAAATAATTATGAATTAATTAAATAATAATTAAAGGTATCTTTCCTGGTAAAAAACATGTATTTT